ATTTCTTCATGTGTCTGTTAGCTGCCTGAATATCTTCTTTGGCAAAGTGCCTGTTCATATCCTTTGCCCATTTTTTAACTGGGTTATTTGTCATGTTGTTGTTGAGATTTTGCAGTATCTTGTAGATTTTAGAGATTAGACGCTGATCAGATTTGTCATAGCCAAAAATTTTTTCCCAGTCTGTAGATTGTCTTTTGATTCTTTTGGTGAAGTATTTTGTTACACATAAGTGATTTTTAGGAGCTCCCATTTACCTGGTCTCTCTTCTGGTGCTTCTGCGTTGTTACTTATGGTTCGTATTTTGTTTATGCCATGTATTAGGGCTCCTAGTGTTGTCCCTATTTTTACTTCCAAGGTTTTCATCGTTTTAGATTTTATATTTAAGTCCTTGATCCATTTTCAGTTAGTTTTTGCGCATGGTGTGAGGTAGGGGTCTTGTTTCAGTTTTTTGCAGATGGATAGCCAGTTATGCCAGCACCATTTGTGAAAGAGACTGTCTTTTCCCCAATTAATGGACTTCGGGCCTTTGTCAAATATCAGTGGCTCATAGGTGGATGAATTTATGTCTGGATTCTCAATTCTGTTCCATCGGTCTATGTATCTGATGATGTACCAGTACCAGGCTGTTTTGACTACCGTGGCGGTATAATAGGTTCTAAAATCAGGTAGTGTGAGGCCTCCCACTTTTTTCTTCTTCTTGAGTAATGCTTTACTTATTCGGAAACTCTTCCCTTTCCATATGAATTTGGTGATGTGTTTTTTCATCTCATTAAAAAATGCTGGTGGAATTTGGATCAAAAATGCATTGTATCTGTAGGTCACTTTGGGTAGAATTGACATTGTCACAATGTTGGGTCTACCTATCCATGAGCAAGGTATGTTTTTCAACTTATGCACTTCTCTTTTGGTTTCTTGCAGTAGTGTCTTGTAGTTTTCACTGTATAGGTCTTTTACATCTCTGGTTAGATTTATTCCTAAGTATTTTATGTTCTTGGGAGTTATTGTAAATGGTATCGATTTGGTGATTTCCTCTTCGAGGTTCTCTTTGTTGGTGTAGAGAAATCCAACTGATTTTTGTTTATCTTGTATCCTGAAACTTTGCTAAAATCTTCTATTAGTTCCAGTAGTTTTCTTGTGGATTTTTTGGGGTTCTCTGTGTATAAGATCATATCATCTGCAAATAGGTGTACTTTTAGTTCTTCCCTACCAATTTGGATGCCCTTTATTTCTTTCTCTAGCCTAATTGCTCTGGCTAGGACCTCCAGCACAGTGTTGAAATAAGAGTGATGATAAAGGGCATCCTTGTCTGGTTCCCGTTCTCAAGGGGAATGCTTTCAAAGTCTCTCCATTTAGGATGATGTTGGCTGTTGGCTTTGTATAAATGCCCTTAATTATATTGAGGAATTTCCC